ATCACCCCTATAATCAGACAGTCTTAGACCCTATCATTTAGTTAATATGTGAATAGAATAGTATCTAAACTTATCAAAGTATAGTGCACCTATACATAAAATGTAATGTCTGAACTTATCAATATGTAGTACATGTGCATGTGAAATATAATATTTTTCGTGTATGGCATAGTGTGTGAACTATATAGTGTGTATAAGTGTAATATCTATTTCTTGTGTATGTGTAATATCTTTGTAAAACCCATAGTATCTATACATGATATGTAATATCTGTCGTGCGGGGTGTAATGTGTGGATATAATGCCTGCAGTATAAAAAAAGGTGATAAGATAAAACTTAGATCCATTAAATAAAGATATGTGGTATATCTATATATGGTGTGCAAGATGTATTATGTGATATCCAATGTATGCATGTATTAGTCAGGATATGGAGTCTATAGTGTAGTGTCATATCTGTTCTTTTATGAGTATAGTATCTATGCAGTGTCTGTAGTATCTTTTCTTCTGTGAGTGTAGTATCTGTGTAGTGTCTGTAGTATCTGTTATTTTTTTTTTCGCTACCGATTCTCGAACCTTTTAAAAGGGGGTTAGAGTTGTTGACAATCTAGGGGTGAAAGGGCATCACACTAATTGAATATTGAGTTTATATTTCAGCTATAAACTAAGTTGTCCAATGGTTTTCTTGCATCATTGCCTGTTACCCCTCGTCTTGAAGTAATAGACCACCTCAATATATCATATTCTCATCTGACAAGATTTTGTACATCCCATATCGAGAAAAATGAGAAAGGTATTTATTTAAGCATTCCTATAACATCCATTTTTCACCCTTGAGTTCAAACTTTAACATTAACATATCCCTATTGTAAACCCCATGAACTTTCCAAAAAAAAAAAAGTGCTGCATTCTTGTATTATCATATTCAGTTCAACAGAATTGATATAAGTCGAATGCCTATTCCAACAGCCTTTAAGGATTAAGTAAACAGTCCTCCAAAGTTCCAACTTATGCATTCTTTCAAATTCTACTTTAACATGCTGGCAAATATCACCAAGTTAAATGTATATTAAAGAATAATAATAGATTTACATACATAGCATTTAATTCCCAGGCGGCAAGAAAAAAAGAAATAACATAAAGTTTATATAAATGTTTTTGGGTAAGGCAGTAGAGAAACTCACGGGTAAGGAACACCAAAAGTGAATATCAACCTACACCCACACCTAAAAGAATAATGGAAAGGCCTACGACCAGAGGAAGCAATCAAGAGATAATTAGATTCCAAAGTAAGTTCCAAAAAAACTTTTAGCAGAAAAACAAATTTTCATCAACACATATATATATTTTATTTATTTTGTATATTTTATTTTATTTTTTTTTTGCATAAGGAACCACAGGAAGCAAAATCTAGCCTCAAGATTAAGTAACCAAAGCACCAAACAACTCCCATATTCATTCAAATAAGAGCAACAGTAGCAAATCCAAAGATTATAACAATTTTCAAAACCTGAAAATGATTTTTTTTTATATTCATTCAAATAAGATAGTAAGGGGAGTAGGAACTACAACTCCAAATATAGATTCCAATCATAAAAAAAAATTTCTAGCAGCTATTCAAACAAGGAGAAGTAAAGAGGACCAAAATAAAACTCCAAATATACTTCCAACAAGTCTCAAACAAAGGGGATAGCAAGGAGAATCAAAGGGAAGCAAAGAGAGCAAAACCCGAGCCTCAAGTGTAATTTTGAAACTAGAAAATAGTTTCCAGTTGGTATTTAAATAAGGGATAACAAAGTGGAATAAAGGGAAGCAAAGAGAGCAAGAAAATCGAGCCGCCATATAGCTACTCAAAGCACTAAAATATTTTCAATGTTCATACTCGAATAAAGGGGCAGCAAGAAGCAAAAGCGAGCCACCAACACTAACTACTCACCCAAAATATGACTCCACTATGTATTCAAATAGGAGTAATAAGGGGAGCACAAAACAAAGCCCCTAAATATCATATAAATCCATGTGTATCCACTTCAAATTGAAGGAACCCGAGAGACTCAAAACAAAAGCTCTTATCATTAAATAAGTCCAAAATTTTCTTTCGAACAAAGTACAAATGAAAAGCTTAGAATAGAGCCTTGAACATCAAGTAAATCCAAAGTTCTTATTTGAACAGATGATAAACAAGAAGCTTAGAACATAGTCTCCAAAATCAGAAAAATCCAAATGCATTGATTTCAAATTGAAGACAACCAAGAAGCTCAAAACAGAAGCCCCAATTAATCAAATAAATCCGTAAATCTCCATGTTAAAACAATGTAGCGAGAAGATTGTAATCAAAAGAACTAAAACACTTCTTGAAGTTTCAATATAACTTCCTAGCCAAGAGAAACTATAGCCTAAAGGCTAAAACAGCTCGATAATTTTTGTATAAAGCCTTTTCAGTAACGAAAACTACTAACCAGTACTCAACATAAGGAACCCACAAATAAGAACTCACGAATAGGGACAATAAATGAAGAAAACCATCAACCAATGATTCCAAATTATGACTAAAGATCCAGCCACAACCAGACCATAACCAAACCCAGCAAAGGCCAAGAGCATAATACAATTTCCTCGAAATTGAGCTTAGTTTTAAGCCAAACCCGTCCCAACATAGAGCTAAATCAAACCCAGCAAATGATCAAAGGAATGACCCACCACCAATCCAAAGCCGAAATTGAGCCCAGCACAAGACTTAAAATTGAATCATATATGTGTCATACTAAAGAACACAACCAAGCTAACTTCCAAAGCCAAAATCGAGCCCAGCACATGGCCTAAAATTGAATCATATAAATGTCATGCTAAAGAACACAACCAAGCTAACATCCCAAACCAAAATCGAG